AGACGATAAAGAAAACATAAAACGGAGCATACTAAATTAAATACGTCTTTAAACCAAATTTTGTCTAAATCCGTAGACTGTCAAACTTGACACACCCCATGTATTTTTATATGCTTAGTGGATACATTTCAAAATGTCTAAGATGTAGACTGAGTGGCCAGTTAGCTGAAAACAAGTCTCCAAGTACTGCTCTACCAATGTCAGGATCTGGTACCGATCCTATCAGGGCTTAAAAATTTTGTCAAAAAATATGGATAAATTGCATCGCATTAGCTTAAAAGAGAGGCCAGTTATTATATCCGTTTATAAAGTATGACAAATTATTTATTAAGAATCCTAATACTCTCCCCCGAATGAAACTGGGGAAAATGATTCCGTTTCAGCACATGTTAGAAAGTGTACAATGCATATAAATTATCCACAATGCATTCAAGAGGCCGGATTATGTTACTGAAGCCCAATACAAGGTGCATCGTAGAAACATTGTTAATTTGCAATGAAGCTATGAGACTAAAGAAATAATAAAGACATATTAAATACATAATAGTAGAAAATAGTAATAGTTAACGACTATTGGGAAACAATTGGGATTAGTAGATAGTCGTAAACAAATATTATATGAATGAAGTTTTCGAGGGAACCTATAATTCTTAAGAACTTTAGTCATCATAAAAGTGGTCTGACCCCGTCTTCGCAACTTGATTATGTTGTCAGTGCGAGCTAGTTACGGTCACCTCACAGAGCAGAGCGCCTAGGCTCTGATTCCCATGCTTGCAAATATCAAGCATTGTGAACGCCTATCTCTGGTCGCCTTTTACCTCTAAAGTGGATTTTTATTCAACTTGGCCATAGTGCCGAATACTTGTTACCGTCGTGATAATCCGTCTCCATAGTCCTGCGATTGCCAGGCCCCAATAGATTGGAAGAGGGAAGAGTTAGCGATAACTGTGCCTATTGCTTAAGCAAACCAGCAAAGAGGAGATGCTTGAATCAAGGGCCTATCGTCAAACAGAAGAAAACAAATCAAAGGAAGGAGCGGGTGAAAAACATTCATAAATCGAAGAAAAATGTTCTTGGTGAGTGGTCTACTCGAAGAAACACTCCAGTTGCCTCTGACAAGTAGCTTAGTGCTAAGGATGACAAGACTCAGTCTAAGCCGACTAAGATACAGGCGAAATGTCTAGAAATGAACCAAATCCACTATCTAACACTGGGAATTATCATAACTACTATGGCAGAGGACTTCGAATAAGATGCCCAACTAGGTCGCCCTGACAACACGACCAAGTTCCGAAAACGAGGTCAGACCACCTCTATACATCGAAAGGAGGTCAAAACATCTTGCCCTTCATATTTACGCTTAAATAAATTTAGAGTTGACACAACCAGACCGATGATCTCTAATCTTGATATAACGCTTCCAACAGCTATAAAGATATCAAACAGAAATTTGGACTAAGGACAAAATAGCTACATACATTAGGAAAGTGAAATATAGCATATTGCATTGGACACTAAACAGTATCATGACATCATAATGATATCTTAAATTTGCGTAACAGGGCCAATTTGAGTCTCTCCATACTTCTTTAATTTAGTGTCTAAACATATATCGTGTAATATTAAATTCAGAGAAATATTTTAAAATAGTCACCTATAAAAGTGAAGAGCGCAAAATTCAGGCGGAGATGAGCTAGTTAGGATAAAAGCGAGTCAACTCAGACATAAAGCAAAAGAAATGAAAACAAAATAGCTGGTGTAAATGTGTATTTAGGAAATATAATAAGATATATATATATATATACATGCACAAATAAAATAAAAGAAAATTTGTATCAAACCCCTGAAAATAACAAAAAGAAGGAATAGTAAAAAGGGCTGGTATGAATACGGTGATTTAATAGAAATCTTGGTGGCTCTGATTTTATGTAAAACTTTCTGATCTAAAGATGTGTAGGTCAACTTAACCAGAAGACATATAACTACTATTTCTCTGCAATCATTTGATATTACTATCAGTTTCAGGTTGATGCAATCCAGGAGACACTCCTCTTTGGTCCCGATGCAAACGGGCTGAATTGTTATATAAAAGATGAAATCTCAGTCCGCTTTCCTCGAAACTGGAAAGGCATGTCTCGTCGAATACGTGAACTCTAACTTTAGATTAATTTCAGATGATGCAAAGCAACAGAAATCCGCCGTCTTCTAAGAATAACGACCTACAAAATGTCAGGTGCTCTTCGTTTGTACACTTTAAAGAAAAATATGGTTGAAGTAAGAAGTTAAAACTTCTGAGCTAATGATGAAATGAAATAGCAAAAGCGCCAATAAGAAGAAGAATACCAACTAAATGACAAAAATGAGGTTTAAATAAAAATGCAGATTTTATAATGAGCAATTTAGATATCATCATTTGTGGTAGCACAGTCGGTATGTTGTAATAGCGATAGGAGTAACTTCTATCGAGCGAGTTGATGATAATAAAGGAAAATCACAAAGATGAAAGTACAAGGGATAGTGATACACTGATTGAGTATGCGATTATTTTTAAGATAAAATAGGTTAATGAATGTCCTAAAACGGGAATAATTCAGATAATTAAGAAAAATGAAGCTAAGAATATATTTACATAAGGGTATTTACATGATGGTATAAAGCAAGTTGAAACAGATTTCGAGATATCGGAAATACTATCTTTTATCTGAGCGACTCACTAAGCTTAGCAGCAATGGGTCTCTAAAATCCGAATGGGTAAAATTAAGAGTTACGGACATTGAAGTAGAAGAAAATAAGCATGATGCCTATCTCTGATGAACAAGAAATAAGGATGAAATTATTATGAATGCGAAAACTTGCTAAGCAGCACTTTAATCCCATTCAAGATAAACTGTGCACTAAGGTAGTAAGATGATGAAAAATAAGAACGTTGACAGTTATAACGCCTTATATGAATCCTTCACTTAAAGATGAGCAAAATCTCTATAAGTGAGGGAATTCAAAGAGAATAACCAGAAAAGAACGGATTCTTATTATCCAAAGGAAGAATGAGAACACTTCGATATAGAAAAATAATGCAGCGTAAGTTCTATCCAGAAAAAAATAATGCGCGGAGAGGGATGAAGGATATGATTAATCTGCATAATGATTGCATTTCGACGATAAAATAGAGGATAATGAGGGTCAATGCAGATGGTCTGACAGTATAACCGGGTCGAGAAAGAATATTCATTAAAACTACTGGGTTTTCCGTCTATATCCCAACGCAGAATTAGTCCGGCTTTGGCACAAGCCTCTGCCCCGGCTGCCAGAGTTGGAGCGAGCCGATGACTGAGCAGTCTCGTCACCTAGTCTAAAGACCCAAGCACGCAGCGCCTTGGCCATAATGATACGTGTATACTGCTGGTAACCTGACGACAACCAGCCATCGATAGGATTGTACTCTACAGGACCACCAGGCTTCGAGAGTAGTGCTGCACGTAGCAGAGTGCTCACTTCAGGAAGTTTGATGTCGACTAGATGATAGGAGACCTGTCGATTAGTAGGCAGTTGTACTCGACTAAACTGGTGTCCCGTCAGGCAGCGGGCCTTAGCCTAGAGGATATAAAGAAAAAATCAGATATTCTTATGAGGTTGGAATGAGAGGAGGTTAGGTGAAACATGAGGGTTCATAAATGTGTAAGAAGAGTAACTGGGTTTCGATTAATTTGCTAGGATAAGATTGTTAGGAGGATTATCATTCCGTATGAAAGAGCATGAGGAAGAAATTTGAGGATCAATCTCACCAAAAGACGGCTGATTGCAGTTCTGCTACAGCTATTTGGCTAAATTTGACGCAGATTGACGCAGTCCATCTTATGTTAGACATCATAAAAACTGAAACACTTTCTTGTAAAAGTCGCAAGCAAGCATTCGGTTAATAAGACCGCCCGACTGTATTTTACCTATTATATATGCTCATAACTAATTGTTATTAGAGCCAAAAAGGAAGTCATGGTCAAGTTAAATTATGTAAAAAAAATGCCAGTTGAGTTAAATGAAACTGAGACATGTACAACTTTAATGAAGCATCCAAATGAAATACGTAAGACTAGGTTAGGGGGTGCCTTTATGGTATGCATAAGTAATGGTGTCGGAGGGACTTACATTTCGTATGAAAATGTAAGAAAAGATTCGTAGGTCTCACAAGAAGACGAATGAACCTCGTTGTACTGCAGCTATTTGGCTTTTATACGACGTTCAGATTGACTCAGTCTATGATACGTCCTCCCCTTTTTTGGGTGAAAATGGGCTAAGATTTCGTCCATCATCAGGGCTTGAATTCATTCTTGTAAAAGTCTCAAGTCAACTATCCAGATCTAACTTACATCTTATATAGACTCAATTAAGCAAAATAAAATTATAAACCTAGAAAGAAATAAAGTGGTTTAGCTAATTATCTTTCATACTGGTGCTGCTACTTTTGCTAGTGTGCGCGTGTGTGTACGTGTGTGTCAGCGTCTATACGCAATACCGGTCCTAAATCAGAGTTATCAAAAGACTAATGTCAGGCTCTAATCCTCAAGACCTAATGACCTAAGAGAAAGCCCTGATCGGGACTGCTTAAGTGCGTAACCAAGTATGGTTAATATAATGAGATATGTGATTGTAGACATGTAAGTCAAGTTACGAAACCACTTGTCCTAACCTCTTAGTCTAGGGTCATTAACGTTTAACCCCCCAAAGAAATGCTTGACTGGGGCTGCGTAATCTGGCACGGCTGGTTTGGTTGATGAGCTCAATCTAACATGCTGGACGAGTGTGAGTGAAGTTAGAACCATCACCGAGCGGACAAGTTGAGCCGTCTTCTTTGGGATGGCTGCTCAACACCCTCTGTCCCCCTCAATCTATCAATCAAGCATATGTAGTTCTTCGAAGGTATGAAGACCAAGATGGTGTGGCCTTATGTGTCGTCGCAGTCTCCTTTTGTTGTATAGAAGTTGTTTGACCCTGTTTTTGCAACTTGAACATATTGGTAGGTAGAAAAACGCACCTTGTCCGGAGTCCATTGTATGCATGATAATTTCCAAAGTCGGACCGTGGATGTGGTACATTCCCAGAAGTTTGACTGGCATCGCTCGGCACCTACAGTGTTCAGTATCAGTCTTTGAACCACACTACAACTCGTCAAAGAAACAAGTGAGGCCGATCGCATCCCTAGTTCTCGTGTTTGTTCGTATAACTTACCATCGAAGGCAAAACATTAAGCTCATCAACAAAACCAGACGTGCCGAATTACTCTGCCCCAGTCATGCCTTTCCTTGAGAGGTTAAACGTTAATGACCCTAGACTAAAAGATTAGGACAAGTGGCTTCGTAATTTGACTTATATTCTTACAAGCTCATTTCTCAGTATCTCAATCATACTTGCTTACAGACTTACGCGGTCCCGGTTGGGGCTTTCTCTTGGGTCATTAAGCCTTGATGATCAGAGCCTGACATTATCCTTTTGATAACTATGATTTAGTATCGGTATTGCGTATAGACGCTTACACACATATATATATACACACACACTCAAACAAGTGTCAAACGAGTCTATATCTATCTAGGTTTTGTCTAATTGACTCTATATAAAAGGTAAGATAAAGCCTGATAGTCTTCTTGCTCTAGTGTTAACGTGGAACTTTTACAAGAATGAGTTCCAACTCTGATGATGTCCATCGGATCATGGACGAAAGCTCAGCCTGTTTTCGCCCGAAGCGAGAGAGGTCTCGTGGACTGCGTCAACCTGAACGTCGTATAAAAGCCAAACGACTGCCGTACAGCTGGATTCAGCCGTCCTCTGGTGAGATCAACCTACCAACCTCTTCTTCATGCACTTTCATACGAAATGAAAGTCCCCCAACAATATTGTCTCCGGAGATTCATCGAAGCCCAGCTTGC